ACCCCCCCCCCGACCGGCGGCGTCGGCAGAGGCAAGGGCCCCGTTGCAGCAGGGGGCGAAGCGCCAGGCGGGGCGGGGTACCCACCGCCGCCGCCTTCACCGGGCGGTGAGTACGACCCGGGTTGCTGGGCGCCGGCAAAACCCGCGGGTCCCGGCGGGTATACCGCCGCCGCTGCCGGGGGGGATGCCATACCCATGGGAGGCGGCCCCGCCATGCCCGCGCCGGGTCGCGGGGCGAGGGGCACCATTGTCGGCGCCTGCATCAAGGCGCCGAGAGCAGCGTCCATGCTACTAGCGCCTCCTCCGCCGACGCCTCCCCCGTGTAGTTGTTGGCCGTAGGGATGGCTGCCGCCGCCGCCGCCGCCGCTGCCCATGCCCGGGACGCCGTGATGCTCGTAGTTACGCGGAGCAGCGTCAGACGTGATTCCCATCGTGTTGACAGCGTAGTCCGGGTTCCCGGCTTCGGCCTGTAAGAGATAAGAGATGTTAGGCACACGGAAGTGGGCATGTCAAGTCAGCAGCAGATACTTGTTGCGACATGCAGAAGCGGGGATCGAAAGGCGAGGTATGTTCTGCTTGAAAAGATGCCCGTAGTAGGCTCGTCGACAGAGCGCTTGCAACACGGACTGCTGTATGTTCGGAAAGTCCTCGAAGAATGATTTTTGTTGGATGCCCTTTTCAACACGTTTGACGCACACGGCGTGGTGCAGCTGCAGAAGTATCGAGCCTCGAATTCGATCTAGCTGGGCGCGGAAACTATTATTTACGACATGCTGCAAAAAACAGCTGACCACGGGCATGTGAGCCAATGAGGTAATGTAGGTGACGGTAGATATCGCGTGGCCCGGTGTTTACTTAGGGCTAGTACAACAAGTGGAGGTGATGAGAATCGCGGCATTGGGACCGTCTCCTCGAGAGCTCTCCGAAAGTGCATCCATGAATTTATGCACGCTCTTCCGTCATGGAGTGGTCAAGCTTCAAAAATTGGTCCAGGGGGTGTGCCACCTGATGTCACCTACGGTGTATCATCCGGGACGAAGGGCCCGAGAAATCATTAGCTTCAGTCTCATCGTCCGATATCCGTGGGTGGGTGGGTGGAAGTTTCATTCGCATCCCCCACCCCTGGCCCGACCCGGTCTCAAATGCTGATCTCGGGCTACAGTGCAAATCTCGAGGCGCCTAAAGTATGGTTCGGTAAGGAATCGCAAACCATGACCCCTCCCCGAGTTTGAGCAGAGCCTGCACCTCCTGTGGCCGACACTACTCGGCCTTGACTGTTCCTTGTCTGCTTCGCCAAAGGAACGGACGGTTGAACAAGGAAAGAAGGTCCCGCGTGCTGCGCGTCACAACTTTTTTTTTTTTTTCGGTTGTGATTTTCTTCCTGAGTAACCGTTGTACACATGTGGTTGCTGCTGTGATGCTCGGAATATGCTGCAAAGGTCGTACGGTTATCGTCTCTGTCGCTTTGGGCTGCACGCTGTGCTCGCGTAGGGGATGCGCATCCCTTAATTTTTCTCTGTGTCGATATTCATGAAGAAAAGCAACGGCAGCACGGTTGAAGATACAGCCAACAACAGACGCTCCGCCTTTTTTTTTTTTTTTCTTGCTGCATATGTATCGGTGGGAAAGCATGTAAGCGGGTTGCTGCCTTACCTTGAGTCTCCTGCGTAGTCGTAATTTGAGCGATAAGGTAGATGGCAGCACAATCGTATTTGCGTAGTAAGGTTTGACAACTGGTCGTTCGTGTAGCGGTGCGCATCTATCGCGACGGCAAGCGCATTGAGATACTAGTTCGTCCGTGGTGCTTCTAGTCATCATCATGTTGTTTCTTGTTGTCACTTGATATCACAATAAATGAAAGAAAGTCTCCACAGTTCGGAAACGGCGACTATAGTTTGTTGTGTTTGTTGTTGCTGGGCGCACATCATCAGATGTCGCCGTTCGTTACACATGTTTGACAGCCTGCGGTGGGCGACAGAGACGAGAGTGAGTGTCTTCTCGAGAGTTAATGCTTTCTCGACCCTATCCTCTTTTGGCCTACCTGTCTCTCTCTCGCCTTTCTACGTTGGGGTCCCAACAACATCGAATGTCAACCGCAATCGTTTTGCTTCTTGCTGAGTAAGAGGCTACCCGTATACCCGGCTGCTGCATGTGAGGCGATGGGCGCTGCCTCTTTACGTGAAACAATCGGCATGGCCCCTACTGTTTGCTCCGACTGTTTGCGGCATGCAGTGCTATGTGACAGCTTCCAGCGGTTCAGAGCGGCGACGGTGGCTTTTCGATGCTGCTGTCTTTTGTCACCTCCCTGAAGCCTGTCGCGTCTGGCTCACTTGTCTTTTGTTCTCGCTCCTTTCTATTCTTATTTTTCATGATATGTTTTTTGGGGTCCGCCGGTCACCCACCCACCCATCATTTCAGTTTTAGTTTTTGTTGGAGGGGTGTTTCTTGCCATGTCTATGACTGGGCCCCGCAAGTTTCGCAATTCTGAAGCTTTTCTGAAGCTAGTTTCTGAAGCTAGTAGCTCATCATTCGATATCCGTTCGGTGGGAATCGCAAATCATGACCCCTCCCCGAGTTTGAGCAGCTTCCGCCTCCTATGGCCGGCAAGAGTCGGCCTTGACTGTACCTTGTCTGTTTCGCTATGGGAACGGCCGGTTGAACAGCGAAAGAGGGTCCTGCGTGCTGCGTGCCACAACCTTGTTTTTTTTTCATTTATTTGTGATTTTTTTCCTGACCGTTGTACACTACATGCGGCTGCTGCTGTGCACATGCGGTTGCTGCAGTATGTGCTCGGAATGTGCTGCAAAGGTCGTAAGGTTATCGTTTCTGTCGTTTTGGGCTGCACGTGTTGCTCCCCTACTCTTTGTCCAGTGTCGTTATCCATGAAGAGCAACGACAGCACAGTTGAAGAGATAAACAACAACAGACGGTCCGCCTACTCAGTATTTATTCTATTTTTCTGCATGCATGGGTGGTATGCATCGGGAAGCGTGTTGCTGCCTTACCTTGAGTCTGCTGAGGAGTCGTCATTTGAGCGATAAGGTAGATGGCAGCACAATCTTATTTACGTAGTGAGGTATGGTAACCAACGGTCTGCTCGTTCGTGCAGCGGTGCGCATCTATCGCGGACGGCAAGCGTATTGAGATAATAGTAATGTTCTTTTTATTTCTCACTTCCTACAGCAGTACCACAAAAGAAAGAAAGTCCAGTTCGCAAACGGCGACTTTTATTATTTGTTTGTTGTGTTTGCTTGTTGTTGTTGAGCCCACATCGGATATCGCCGTTCGATACACATGTCTGACAGCCGCGGTGGGCCAGAGGGACGAGAGTGAGTGTCTTCTCGAGAGTTTCTCGAGAGTCAATACCTTGTCTCCTCTCCGCTGTCTTCTTTTAGTCTACCTTTCTCTCTCAGTGGGGTCCCAACAACATCGAACGTCAACCGCAGTCGTTTTGCTTCTTGCTGATTAAGAGGCTACCCGTGCATCCGGCTGCTGCATGTGAAGCGATGGGCGCTGCCTCTTTATGTCGAGCAAATGGACTTGGGCCCTACCTAATGCTTGCCGCATATGCATTGCTATGTGAGAGCTTCCAGCGGTCCAGAGCGAGCGGCGACGACGGTGATTTTTCTATGCTCTCTGATGCTTCCTCCCTGAAGCCTGTCGCGTCTGACTCACTTGCCTTTTGTTCTCGCTTATTTCTTTGTTTAGTTTTCATGCTTTGTTTTTCGGGGTCCCCCGGTTCTTGTGTGCTCATCGGGCGTCTTCTTGGTGTCTACCTTGATTGTTACCCGCTGAAAACATGGAAAGTTTCAGACAGGCAACGCGACGATACTCGTCGAGTTGCCATACGCAATTCCCGGACATTTACGCTGAAAACACAAGACCAAGAAACCACACAACGGAGCACACCTCTAAAAACCAACCAAACATGCGAAACGAAGAAAAGTGGACTTGACACAGCAGCAAAAGCTGGGGGACAAGCGCGCTGTACCTTGAGCTGGAGCGGAAGGAGAAACTGGCGGATGACGTGGTCCGTCGCGACGTCGTAGGCCGTCAGCCTGTGGCTGTTCCGCTGCTCCACGGCCGCCCCCTGCCCCACCAGCATCTTAACCATGTCCGTGTGCCCCCCCTTGGAGGCGTAGTGCAGGGGGGTGTTGCCCGCCTTGTCTGCGGTGATGATGTCCGCGCCTGTGAAATTCAGACATAGCAGCATTCAAGCAGCAGATCGACGTGAAGTTGAGAACCAACGCCTCGCAAGACGGTGCAACATGTAGCGATGAGAAGGAGTTATATTTTTCTTGTGATAGAAATAACATCAGTGGTGGCATTTATGCGGTTCAGTCCTGTTACGCTTCTCTGTCATTGAACGTCATTCTAGCGGGCAGTAGGGTGGGATTTGGACACAGAGGGGCATGGCTGTCAGACGTAACCGGGAGTTCCGCTCCTGGCATGCACATGGTAAGTGTCGGGCACAAGCCCTGATGTTCAGAGCGACGGCTGCTTGTGCCAAGAGCGATGGATGTGCTCTTGTGTTAGATGATCCCCATGGCTTCTTGTCGAACATCGATATTCGGCCATCGCTCTTCGTTTTGCTTCCTGCTCGTTGTTTAACGCAACTAGGCATTGCATACTTGCGTTGAAGAGCAGGAACAACATGAACAGCAGTGATGGCCAAAGATGCATGATCGGCAAGAAGCCACGGGGACAAGCAAAACACAAGAGCACACCCGTCGCTTTCGCCACAAGCAGTGTGCACGACACTTACCGTGTGCATGCCATGCCGGGAGCTGAACACCCGGTTACGTCTGTGTCTTGAGGACCCCAAATGTGCCCGAGGCAGAGCAGCATTGGCAAGGATGCCACTCGGCGTTCGTTAATGCCCACCCTCCCGCTACTTCTTGCGAATCGGCCGGGAACCCAACAACTTCGACTACTGCTGTGGTATTATCTCGAAAGGGCATTCCTCTTTCTTTGATGGGATGTGTTTTTTCTATAAATACAAGCCTGATATACTCGCGCAGGCTACCGATCGGCCGCGGCCACCCAGAAGGTTTAACACATGTCCACGGCGGGTATCGTAGGTAGGGACTTGTCTCACCCAGCTCGAGCAATCTCTGCACCAGGTGATTGTTGCCGGTCTGGCATGCCATGTGCATCGGCCGCACCCCTCGGTCGTTGGCGGTGTTAGCGCCCACCCCTTTCACCTCCAGCAGCTCGCGGATCTACCACGTTTTGGAACAGCGTACAGCAGGCCGGCGGTAACGCCACAGGGTTTCCACAAGTCGGGATCATGCCGAGAGGGGAGAGGGGGGTGTTGGCTTTCAGCAACATGTACTAACCTGGCACAAGGCGAGCATTGGTGAAGTGCAGATGGTGTACCTGGCTGGCAGAGAGGGGCAAGAGACACTTCGCTTATAGCATGACGGGGGGGGGGGCGGGGGAGGTCAGACGACGACACCTCGCTTTTGTTATATGCATACATAGGCATGAACGTTCTCGAAGCTGAGAGATGGCCCGAGAGCCGAAAAGTCTATCGCGTAAGGGCCACCTTTCCGAATGCTTCTGCATCACTTCCGTATCGTTTATCTCAAAACAATATGAAGCACATAAATTAGAAACACCATCTGATAAATAGGGCGCTGTTGCTCGTTTCGGGAGGGATGTGCAGCGAGGTACTGTAGGTACTACTGCTGATGTGTCGCGCGCGATAGGCGGACGCACTCCGAATTGAGCCGAAAAAAATCTTGGCAATTTCGGGCTGCAGGCTCACAACAGACAGCAGCAGTGCCACCTGCCGTAAAACTCCAACTTGTCACAGAGAGAGGCATTGCAATGGCCGCAGGCCCAAAAGCAAAAGCTCGTCGCTCTCGACCTGTCGCGTCTCTCGCCCTCTGCCAGAACACAGGCCTCGTGCCCGACAGCCACGTCTTACGTTGCGTCGAACTCCAGCCGTGATTGTTCTTCATCGAAAGAGCCCGCATCATCAGCACAATGCGACAATGCGGGGGAAACGGCTTATGACCACATACGGCTACCGCGCGAGATGCCTCTCGTGTGCCTGACGCGGTTTCGATTCTAGCGACGAAGGGGATAGAAGTGGGAGAGCCCCCCCTTCTCCTCTCTGCTCTATCTGTCTCTCCTATGTACGCCGCCGCAGCAGCAGCTTCCATCCGCACCTTGTCTTGCTGTCTGTTCTGAATCGCGATGAGCAGCTGCGCCTCCTGCGACTGGACGGGTGCCATCATCTCCCCGACCTTACCCTGCAGCAAGAAGTTAAACATGGCTTTTGCTTTCTTCCCTGCAGAAGAGCAGGGTTGTCGCAGTCCTCAGCACCCCGTTTCAACCCCCGCAACACAAGCCCTCTCGCTCACGTCGGGGCTCCTTCTTCTGCTGTGCGCAGCAGTGGAGACCGCGGTATACTGCTGTTGAGCGGCGAGAGGTAAAAATCGTACCAGCGAACTTGGGGCTGCCGTAGACGCTTTGTATCGGCCCGTAGGCAAGCTAGCCCTCACGCTCTTTCCTAGGCACGTGCCAGGTCCTGGCCTGTGAGCGCGTGTGTGCGATGCTGTGAGACTTTCCACCGTCTCTGGTTCCACCCAGCAGACACACAAAGGAACATACACGGTGCCCCCTCCTCCCGCGATATCCTACTAATAGTTCTGTCTGCGTGGCCTCTTTTGGGGTCTTTTTGCCTTTTGCACCGACGAAGATCTTTGATCTTTTTTACTGCTGTAATAGTCTTCAGTTTCGAAGTCTTCAGTTTCGAGGGAGAGATGAGGTTCGAGGGCGCGGCATGGCTCACTTCGGCCATGCTGGCCGTATCGGCTTTGGATAGGAGAGCGGTGACTGCGTTGCCGCACGTGGTGGTCCCAGAGCCCGGGACCACCGAAGCCCTGAGCCTGACTCTATTCGTGAAATCAAGTACGTCGAGAGGCGCGCACACTGTCGGACAGAGGCGCTCAACATATGAAGTGCAAAGCCGCTCTGCTTAGCTCCTGGTCTGCAGCAATACCGTCTACTGCATAGTGGTAGAGGTAGTGACTAGGCACGGGCAACGCCGGAATATATTAGCTCGAAGTTGCCCATACAGCAGGTAGGCCAAATAAATGACTTGCTCAGTTCGTAAGGACGTTACGCCGCTTAAAAAAGACATGAACCCATTTCACCCTTTCACCGAATCACTTTGAGCAACCTTCTGTAGAAATTTGCAGTACATACGAACGGCATCGTGTTTTCAAGTGTTCGCGTCCCCTTGATATCACACGCTCGTTGCCGCACCCCACAAAAACATTGTACCACACTTCGTATCTTGGTGAAGGTCTGGGGGATGCCCATTTCATCGCGGTCCCCTCTTCGGCGAAAGTACCGCCTGCGGCTGTCACCGCAGACATGTTGGTCGCCCCTTCACTGAACGATGCGGTCTTCAAGGACACTGTAGCAAAGCACGGCTCGTTTCCCGTGCGGGCAAGCGAGCGGAGCGCGTACGTCATTGATGGCTTGGCTGCCGGGCAGGCTTACGATGTGTTCTTCGTCATCGAGGTGTGCCCAAAACACCAGAAGCCAATGCACACACAAAAGGCGTCATTTTGCCCGAGAAGGATTCTTGGGGCGCACATCAAAACATTCACAATCTCTGGAAAGTGGTGCTGGGCAGAAATATATCTGATTGCCTTGGATACCGAATTTAGCGAAGAGTTCCTACATGTACCATCATTAGTATCCTGCCGTCTCGTGTCTTCTGCGATCTTCACCCCACCCACAGCCTTTTACCCCACTTCTCATTCTATTATAGGCAGCTAACAGCAATGGTCTCTTCAGCCCTGTTGGTCGAATGCTTGGCGTGTCAACAAACATGCTAGCGCCCAACATCTCCTCTCTGAGCCTGGCCCCGGTAGACGCCCGGACGAACGCTACGCAGCTGTCGCTCTCCATGGACGCTGCTGGCGTGCCCTGTCGCGTATGGTACGCAATACAACCTTTGCAAGATTCAGTGCTCCTCGCGGTGGAAAAAATCTCTGCTGAGGAGATAGTGGAGGCGGCTCTGCCCGACAGCGTTGTGGACCTTCGGCAGGCAAGTGTAGCAGAGAGTGTGGTGACAACGCAATCCCCTTAAGGGTGGTGATGCTCACCTAGCCCCTAAATATGGTGTGCAAGCCATGCTCTAGGGTTGGAGATCTCGGCAACACAGAGTAGCTATAGGTCAAAGGTTTGCATCCGGGAAAGGTTTTGCTGGAAAACGCTCATCTGTTCAGTCTGAAGATGTCGTTGTTCACGGTTGTGTGTGTGCGAGTAAGAGGCCATAGGTACAATTTTGCTGTCGTGCCGGAGATATTTGAGGTAGGACTCCACAACAAGCACCCATATCGTCACCCTTGACGTGCAGCAGACACATGTTGAGTCCAATGTTGCGCAGCCACACTGGGTAGACATGCTGCTATTCTTTCTGGCCCATGTCCAGACCAGTAACTTGTTTGTTTTCCCAAACTGGGTTATCTCCCAGGGCTCTTTCATGTAGTCTCTCATGCGGCTCTTCTCCCCTTTCACCGATCGATCAGGGTCTGAAAGGCGTGCGCTCCCCCCTTCCGATCAATGACGATCTGGAGAGTGACACCTGGTATCAGGTATCAGCGGTGTCCGAGCGCGCGGAGGGCGTTTACAGCCAGCCAGCCTACGCCGTAGCCAAGACCCACCGAGAGCCGGCAAGAGTACTCGACTGGAAAGCCACGCCAGTTCATGGCTCTACCGATTCCCTATCATTGCTGATAAGGCTGGACTGCTCCTCAGCACCCACACACGAGGCTTGCGGGACTTTGAGGTGCGGAGAGAATGTTGGCGCGAGAGAACGAACGGCAACAGTACTAGGTTGAAGCTGGTACGGGAAAAAATGTTGGGTAGCAGGAGAATGCGCAATTGCGGCGGTAACTGCAACACCTCCGGCGATGTTGCGTAAGGATCATGCCAAGAAAACGCCCGAGAACGGCAACTGTGTTGCGGTCAGAAGAGCATGATCTCACGTTTCATCGCCCGGTTGCAGAGGACAAAAATCAGGCTGTTGTTCAGCAAGGACTGTCTGTATCTTGATTAAATCACCCGACAAGATTTGCACGTTCATCCTCTACGTGCCTTTCTATCTGTTTCATCGCATGTGTGCCGCCACCCGCGTCAGATATGAAGTGACCGAAAAGCCGCCCAAGGGATCCCCGGCGAACGCCAAGCCTCGCCAAGTTGCTCAAGGCACGGCGGTGGTTGCTGATGGACGCTTAACACCTCATGTGGTATCCGGGTTGTCGCCCGGAAAGGTACGGTGGCGTTCCAATGTTTCTCTCTCGTTTCGGCTTTCAATTTATGACCCGCCTTGCCTCGCCAGCGGAGTGCTACTTGAACTTAATATTCATCGCTCAGCCCCGGTACACCAGTCAACTTTGAACAGACATGACAATTTTCCGATGTACCCCACGGCCTCAGGCCCACTCGATTTCAATGGCGATCGAGACTCCGGGCTCCAACGGGGCGTACGGTCCGACCATGGAGGTGGCCGCGACTACATTCCCGCGCGCACCCAGGCTCGTCACGCTAGACGCAGCGAGGTCTGACACCGAGGCGTCGACCGTGATTGTGCGATACAAACTTTCCGAGGTAAGACGGGAGCATTTTCTCATTAGCTCGTATTTCTTCAATTACGAGAGGACCCTCATGAGTGTTGCTACAGCGGCGGCTATGCTTGTTACAAGCCGAAAGTTGTCATCCAGCATTTGTTGCGTGCGCCGCGGGGAGTTCTTGTACTTCGGGAAAGGATTGAGGAAACCGTCTTGTCATGGGCCCGTTGGGAGTTTATCCCGCTGGAAAGCCCTTCTAAGGGAAAGTCTCGAATCGTCCTTTTGGTAGTATAGGGAAGGGGCCCAAGAAATTTTTGAGCGGGAAAAGGAGAAAAAGAGGGGGGGGGGGGGGGCGACTCGCACAGAGAACCTTAATAGAGAGAAAAATCCGAAGGAGAGAGAGCTTTACCGACGTTCCCACGTTCCATCCCCTCCTTGATAACCGAAACATGGGCACAGCCTGGTGTGGTGCATGTCAGTCTCGTCGAGAGGGTAGGCCACCCCTTGGCCTTGATCGGGACCATGATCGGGAACCAACATGGCGTGGGCTTTTCTGTGGAAGTGGGCATGTCAGCAGGCGACGAGGAGGAGGAGGACGGATCCGACTCAGCCTTGGAAGGATCACAGGTGAACGAAGCTTGACAGGGAGTATATTGCCATGATTGTACTTGCAACGCCTCGGCGGATGTTGACTACCTAGGCCGGTCAACCCCAGGTTTCGTCGCGTACATTTAACAACTAGGCGTCGCGGAGGTCATCACCTGTAGGTAACCGCGGCCAGGGTGTTGATCTGGAGGCTTTGCTGCGCAACTGCCGACGCCTCGAAACGAAACGAAACCTCACAAATACGGGAATTAGCTACCGCGGCAGGTCGCCCCGGTGGTCTTAGATTGCAAGGTCGTAAGCCCGGTAGTAGGTAGGGCTGTGAGTTGGTTTGCACGGGTTCCCAAAATGGTAGACGTAGGCGCGCTCGTGGGTAAAACCTCGTCAAAATTGAGTGTGGTTGTTTTCGTTTGTAGTCTCACTCTTGCTTGAGGGAAGGAAGAACGCCTACCGTAGGAAAACAATATTCTGTGTACATGTATTGTACCCCGGATTGGAGTTCTCCAGTCAGAGAGAAAAAGCCGTAGGGTAGTAGGAAGAATCTGCGAGCGATGGTAAATACACGGGATGGTAAAGAGAGAAACAAAGAAACGAAAAAAATGGGCTTCTCGGCCCTGTTT